CATGTCATATATCACATCTTACATATCATGTCATATATCACATCTTATGTCATACCATATATCATGTCATGTATCACGTCAGATATCATGTCATATATCACATCATTTATGTCATCACATGTTATATCATGCCATATATCACGACATGTATCATGTCATATATGACATCATATATTAAGTTATGTATCACATCAAATATCATGCCATATATCATGTCATATATCATACCTTGTATCACAACATTAACAAGCAATTATCATAGTATTGCAAGCAATCCATAAGTCCCCTACCGGTTAGAACCCCATCAACATTCTGAAAGGCCATTGGCCATTCACTTATGTTTCAATTTTTCTCTATTTTAAGTAAACTTGTTGGAAAAGTTCTTTAAAAGTGATCACAGGAAACAGTTTTTATGAACAGACAGACAGACGGACTGAAGGACACTCTAAAGTTAATATTTGAAACATCCTTGTTACCAAAATATAACATTTTAAAAGCAGAATTCTTAAAGAGGAGATAACTCTTGAATTAAAGATGCAATTTCATAAAAATTTTCAGCTCTTTTTGACTAATCACAAATATTGTTATATTTGCCATGTTTTAAGCCTATTTGTTGCCAAGGCAACTGATATTTTTTCAAAATAGGAAGAACAGATAAGACATGCATAATCTCAACACTGCTATCTACCCATATGTCAAGTTTCATAAAAATATTTCCAGTACTTTTTGAGTTATCACTGGATTCAGTTTATGTGTAAAATTTGCCATATTTTCAGTCTATGTGTTGCCATAGCAACCAGAATTTTTAACATAGGAAGAAAAGAAAAAGACGTGCATAATCTCAAGACTGCCATCTACCCATATGTCAAGTTTCATAAAAATATTTCCAGTACTTTTTGCGTTATCGCGGGATCCAGTTTTGTGGACGGACGGACTGACAGACAGACGGACGGAGGGTAAACCTAAAGTCCGGTAGGGGACTAATAATGTCATCATGTCATATATCACATGTTATATAACGTCGTATATATGATATATCACATGTTTTATCCTGTCATATATCACGACATGTATCATGTCATATATAACATCATATATTAAGTTATATATCACGTCATATATCACATCATACCATATATCATGTCATATATCGCATATTATATCATTTCATGTATTACGTCATTTATCACATCCTTTATAATGTCATCATCATATATTAATGTTATATCATGTCATATACATGATGTGATATATCACATGTTATATCATGTCATATATAACATCATATATCAAGTTATATATCACATCAGATATCATGGCATATATCAAATCACATATATTGTCATATATCACATCATTTATTGCATCATATATCATGTCATACCATATATCATGACATATCACGTCATATGTTGAATCATACATCATGTCATATCACATGTTATAGATCACATCATGTATCATGTCATATACCACACCATATATCATACCATACACCACATATCATTCACATACAATATATTGCATCATATATCATATCACATATAGCCCTAGCCTGGCTAATAAACAAGAGGGCCATGAAATCGCTCACCTGTATATAGATATTTAGATCTTTCATGCCAAATATTTAAGCTCTGCATGGAATTAAGTTCTTTGAACAATTTTTAAAGTTGACTACCAAAGGAAGATTCCTGTGAAGTTTGGATGAAATTGGCTAAGTGGTTTATGAGCAGATGTTGTTACAAGTAAAAGTTTATGGACGCCTGAAGAAAAGCGATCAAAAAAACTCATGTCACTTTGTGACAGGTGAGCTAAAAATGAACTGTCCAAATATTGATTGAAATTGGTATGTATCTGCTGATGTCAGATACACTAGAAGAAATTTTGACATCATTTTTTACAAAACTTCAAAAGGGAACATACAATGTGCAGTCTCGTTAAAATTGAAAGGAAAATAAACACATATTTTGCTTCAACTGTTTTATGAGATGGGAATATGTCTGTTTTATTATTATATGAATTATAATAAGCAGCTAACTATAAATATTGTACAGAACAAGACAGCACAAACATTTATAAGGCATATAATTACATGAACACTAAACCTTAGCAAATGTTGCTCAGAATATTCAAACCATGGATGAAACATTTATTTAGCACACATACTCTAAAAGTTTAAATCTGCACTATTCACAAGTTATGTAGTTTTTTGGCATCTATACATTTCACACTTTGATCTATATCACAATTTCAATCTATAGGGATAATGCTATAGACATTCTCTTGTCCTCCCCAGCCATACGGTCTCGTCCTCTATCAGTAGGAGCCTCTTGTGCTTGCAATGTGTCTATGTCATCAATATCATCAACATCAACAGTTTCATATTTTAAAATAAAGTTGTGTAAAACACAGCAACTCCCTATCACTACAGGTATCTCCTGCTCCAAGTGCATTTCCAGATGCTTCAGCCTTCGAAATTTGCATTTCAGCAGCCCTATAGCCCTTTCAACATCTACCCTTGTTGAGGTATGGCATGCATTGAATTTCTTCTGAACTGTATCTAGATGACCATTATCCCTAAATGGCACCAACATTCCTTTACTGATTGGGTAAGCTGAATCGCCTAGTAGGTGAAATTCATCTGGCAGGTCATCTATTTTGTGTGATACTGGACTGTTTCTGTATACTCGGGCATCATGAACAGACCCTGGCCATCCTGTGTAAACATCCAATAATCTTAAGGTGCTATCACATATTAGTTGCACAACCATGCTTGACTGGCCTTTTCTGTTGATGAAGGCTGCTCTGTGAACCGACCTGGGTGCAGGAACTGAAACATGTGTTCCATCGATGGCTCCTACGACCCCAGGCATACCACTTCGCTGTCTGAAGCCATCTGCTATAGCCTCCATTTCTCTTCTGGTGGATGGAAAACATATATACTCCTCCATCAGCTCAGATATTGAGTGACAAGTAGATATCACTATCAGATGTAAAGAACCTAAAGTAAAAACAAAATTGCCATGCATTATTATTCATCAAATGTTTATTAAATCATATCTCTATTTATAGTCTAACTTTTTCAGTGTATCTGAAAATAATCAACAAAATATGTTATGACCAGAACAAATTTAAAGGGAAAAACCTTAAGCAAAATTATTTGGGTCTTGTTTTTAAATTGTTTATGACTTAATTATTCATATCTTTAAAATTTTGTGACATATTTGACACATTATGGAGTAATGACAGCCAGTCATTAAAGAGACTAAAAAAGCTAGAGAATAAGATACAAAAATGCGAAATTTCTTGAATGACTACATGGAAAGAGTTCATTGTAACTAAGTCACAAATGAATGTTGCACATTTCATGGTAAAATTGTCATGTTATTCAAGTTATTTATAAACAGAGCTTGCATACAAGTCTTAAAAATGTCTGTCTCTTAAACGTTTAAGAACATTATTTATAATAAGAGGATCTATTAATATTTGATTGTTTGTGTCCAAGTGGTTGAGGTTCTTTATCTCAAACCACGTGCCTCTTGTCCCTGTAAGCTTTAGTTGTGCCAATGTCTTAGGGTTCTTCATATGAAAAAGCTATTCAGCCAGCTGAAAGAATGTGGATTGTTCTAATCAGCAGGTAACCATATGTGCCTGACATAAGGGGCACCTAACGTCTTTCTCCATCATAAAGCTGGAAAGTCCCATATGAACTATAACCAAAAAAAACAAATATGTCTGTTACCTTTACTCATTCCAAATCTGTCAGCAACACTTCTATAACTTTCTGGATTGGCTAGGATCCAAAGTGTTGCTAAAAGTTTTTTATCCACTGTAACTGTTCGCTCTTGATTCATTAATGGTGACACTTGCATGCACAACTCCTAAAATAATTGAAGGGTTTATTTAATTTTTAATGTTCAACAGTAGTAAATTTCACAATTTAAGGCTTCCATAAAGATTATATGAGCCGTGTCACGACAAAACCAACATAATGGGTTTGCGACCATCATGGATCCAGACCAGCCTGCGCATCCGCGCAGTCTGATCAGGATCCATGCTGTTCACTTACAAAATCTATAACATATATATATAATCTGGATCCATGCTGGTCGCAAACCCATTATGTTGGTTTTGTCATGACGCGGCTCATATTATTCCTATCTTGATTCAATGAATTAATGCTTATCAAATCTGACTTCTCATATATTGATTAATTTATAGGCCTTAGATAGTGTCATCCTAATATGATCATAGAGACATTCATCAAGTTTAAAGTGAATACCTTCAGTTTCAAAGATTTATGTTGCATGTAAAACTAAAAATAGGAATTGTCTAAGTTTAAAAAATTCATATATATTTTTTATTCTGATTGTTACATTTTCTGGCGCCCACAACTTAATTATCTTGTGCACCTGTAGCATGACTCAGTAACATTTGGTCGCAACATAGTATCTTGTGCGCACAAGATAAATAAAAAGACACACATCACTTCTGTGCCACCGTATGATACAGACTGACCATATTTTTTTTTCGAAATAACCATGTTAAATATATTTCAAGAAAATCGGACATATTGAATTTCCTGGAAGAAGCTATGTGATCATTACAGGCCATAAACTTTCAGTAGATAGCAGAAGCAGTGTTTACATTATCAGCAGCAGAAGATATACTTGGAATAAAAACCATATTAACTGCCCTTGGCTTTCATATCATAATCAATATAAAATTAAATAGTGACCGTGATAATCTAATCTCATATAATTAAAATATGAATGATAAACATGCAAGTAAACCTAGTGTAAAATCAGCTGATGGGTTGATTTTAATTATCATACCTCAAATGTTGTTCTGCTCATACGGAAGTGAGCTTTAAAGTCAATTGCTGAATACAATGGTATAATTTCTTCAACATATCCTTCAATTCTGACAGATTCCTCTTTCTCTTGCACTTCTTCCACAAGTCCTACAAACAGAAATACAAGCTGTTAAACTGAGCCTGCAATTTCGTGAAAATAATATCACAATGCACATGCTTTTTGCATAAAGTTATTAAATACAAATATAACAACATATTTGTTTACCTGATTTTTACGAATCAAAATAAAACTAATTAACACAACATATGACAGTAACTTCTAATAACAACAGCTCCTTCCATAGGCCAAAATAAAAAGCATTCCATTTGTTGCCAACAAAGGCATTTTACCTAGATCTTTACCGCACATGGTCAGACATATACATATTTATTTTTCACTGCATTTAGAAGTCAATAAGACTAAAACTAACTACATCAAAGCTGAGCATCCCATATCTACTTTACACATGTCATTAGCCACTACTTATAAGAATCGCATTTTGGTATAAAGATGCAGACTTTTTTTTGTTTATTACAGGCATTTTCAGTTTTCGGTTCTTGCATACATGAACAAAAAATGGCATGATATAACTAACATTTTTATGCAATCTATTAACATTAGGACAAAATTAATGTTGAGACATTGGTATCAAGTTTGTCCATTCAATAAAGTTAAGGGTTGATAAATTAACACTGCTTTAAAATTGCTGATACCTTCTCATTTCTATGACATACAGTAAACAATGTTAAAGGTAAAGAGTCAGCTTAGCTCTAAGACAACTCGGCACGAGTCAGCTTAGTAAGAGTGAGCTTCACCCACAAGCACATGTAGATGTGTAAACCTACATTTAAAACAGGTGGTCATAATTGTGTGGAAGCAATCAATCATGATCAATATATCTCCTGATTATTTTGTCAACTTCACATATTATAATTTATAATGCCAAAAAAAAATTGAAAATGTACAAAAAAACACAAGTAATGTATTTCAGTTACATATGAATTCAGGGCCCTCAATCTACCAAATCTACAGCCAAACAAAGGCCGCAGTCCCCATCAAAATAGTATTTCTCCATGTTGATGTAAAAATCCCCCCTAGAAAAATGAAATCTAACTAAAAAAAGGAAGAGTTATGCTGGTATTAACAAGTAAAACTGCTGATTTTATTTCATGGCGTTTTTTTTCCAGTGGAATATTGTATGTCTGCACCGTTTTAACTGATATTTGACAAAAAGGAAATGAAACAAAAAATCCCCTGTAGTGTACACTGAAATTTCCCTTGTTGAATGTAGCGACCCACTTCCCCCGAATTGGATTGAGGTACCAGGGGAAAGGTCAAACTGACCAATTATCTAGTTAATAAAATGCCTTGGTGGCTCTTTTTAAATATGGAGGAAAGTAAGGAATTTGAGTCTGTATCAGTTTATTTCAATGTATATGATTACAGTGTACATTTATTTCCACACTTTAATGGATTATATAATAATGGATTATATATAATTTTCTTGATAATCATATAGTGGAAAGATACAAAATCTTTAACAAGTGGTGATATAAAGCATACTTTACTTAAACTGCTGATTCCTTACAAACTCATAATCAAAATGAATCACTGCATGCATATGTTATTTTGATAATAAGAAAAGAAATTAAAATATTCAGCAATTAGCGATTTTGAATAAAATCTAAAACGTCGCGAAAACATATGATTGTTATAAAAATATATCCATACCTTGATAAATCAATCTAATTAACACAAGTAAGCAATACAGAAAATGGTTTACCTGCAACAGTAACTGAAATATCAATTAAACTGTTTTGAATTAGCATAGCTTGATCATAAATGTCATCATTTGTTATTTCATCAAGGAGCAACGCCGTTAGTTCGTCAGTGTCCGCCATCTTGAAAACGTTTGAGGCGGACGAATCGTTCAATAAGTAGTTCGCTGTAGGTCAAGATACGCTGGGCGAACGTTTTCGGTAATGAACGCACGGCAGGTTTTCAACCCCGAAGTTTTGATGTGACAGTAATCAATAGGTCAAAGTACACTGAAGTTAATGAGTAGAAGCTGAAAATTATATTGTAAGCAGATGACCTTGATCTTGCTCCAAGATATCTAAGTGGCAGTCCAAAGCTGCAACACAGCAAGTTTTGTGTCAAAAGGTCAAAGCAAACTCAAGTTATTACGTGAAAACAGAATACATTAACCTTGATCACATACACCTGGGTAGCAATCCAAAGCTGCCTCTTGATAAAAGCTACTCATTCATCAAGTTTGGTGTCAAAAGGCCAAAGCAAATTTCAGTTATTGAGCTGAAACTGATTTTTTGTTTTTAGTAACAGTGATCTTGACCTGGATGACAGACACCTGGGTAGCAATTCCACACTGCCTCCTGATATAAGTTACCTACACATCAAATTAGGCGTCAATAGGCAAAAGCAAACTAAAGTTATTTAGCGGAAAGTGAATTTCTATTTTAAGTAACAGTGCCCTTGACCTTGATCACAGACACCTGGATAGCAATCCCAAGCTGCCTCTTGATATAATCCATACATACACCAAGTTTGGTGTCAATAGGCCAAAGCAAAATCAGGTTATTGAGCGAAAACTGAATTTCTATTTTTGGTAACAGTGACCTTGACATTGATGACCGACACCTTGGTAGCAATCCCAAGCTGCCTCTTGATATAAGCTACTTTCATACAATGTTTGGTGTCAATAGGCCAAAGCAAACTCAATTTATTCAGCGGAAACTGAATTTATTTTATTAGTAACAGTGACCTTGACCTTCATCACGGACACCTGGATAGCAATTCCAAGCTGCATCTTGATATAAAAATAGCATTTCAGTAATTAAAATGATATTCATCCGCGTGATTTGTGATTGTGCATTTTTGACAATTCTATAAGCCAAAGCTACTTTTAAACTTTGAACGCTTTGTAATTTGTTGGATACTTGTAACAAAATAAAAATATTTCTTTCTTTAACATCGCTAATTTTAAGCTGTTTTGAGAACTGCTTGTTGTAAGCTTTGTCGTAAAGCGCTGTGCCAGAGATTGAATGTCAGCATTGTATTTTCTGATCTGTTTATCTGTTGCTTTTTGGCAATGAGTACAGTTATAGTGCATTAGTATTTTATATGAAAGTCAAATACTACATTGCTTACATTTTGCTACTTTTATGACATTTTGCACATTTATCGCTATTTAATTCTGGTAACAAGTATCTTAAAATTCTCTGATACTATTATTTAAACATTAAAATTCATGTTTGCCCTTTCTAAAAAAATTTGTAAGATTTCCCATTAAAAAGCCTCTGGCGAACGGTTGTTACAGAGCTTACAAAAAACTTAAGTTTGTTGGTAAGCATAATACATGTAATGTATTTGTAAAAATCACTATTTATAGTCTGATCTAGAAATCTGATATTTAACCAGAACATTGCAATAAAGTATTAAAAATATAAATTGCATTTTATTTCATCCCCATCATATTTAAAATGGGGCTATATGTCACTTAAGCATCAAACCGCCATCTTGAACTCCACCTCAAATATTTCAATGTTGCAGATCGAAAATAAGTCAGAACTCAGTATTTAATCAGAACTCAGTTGACACCTTCAGAACTTTTGAACCCGAATTGCTATGTAGCATATTAACGCACTTTCGGGTCAATTTCTCGATTTTAACCCCAAAGTGCGTTGGACCCCAAAGTGCGATGCGAAATGTAACGCACTTTGGTGTCGGACCCCAAAGTGCGTTTAACCACAAAGTGCGGTGTTACAACGCGCCTAATGCCGTGCCAGTTCATTCTCGACCATCAACCTCTATATGGTGGTCGGGAGCCAAGAACATTCCCGACTTCACGGAGAGCCCTAAATGAATGTGGCGGAGGCTATAGTTCTCACCGTTAAATTTTTTTTAAATATATATTGGGATTTTAACCTATATCCTAATAAGTATGTACTGCTCAACAAACGTCCATAGGCTCTAAAATATATAAGTATTTCTATAAAGAATAGCAGCTTGTTGATGATAATAATCATTTTATTCAGGCAAAAACTACAAACAATGTTTATGCTTTGAAAACAATTATCTGCAACAGAAATAAATGAATATGTACAGACGTAGAGATGTACGTGTATTAACAAGGCGAATGTGCTCAATAAAACAAACAAGGCATGTGATCGAATTTACAATAATAATATTAACGTTACAAGTCACTAAGACCATACATCATACATCAAACGGTGCAGTTGATCTCTCAAATTAACAATAAACAGTAACGGTATTTTGTGCTTGATTTTGAAGCTACATTCATTTCGTTGTTTATGTACTGTTTAAGCTATGTTTTTTTGTTGAAATGTTTTGTATAAGATACATAATGATAATGCAAATAAATTTCTCGAATATGTATTGGCTCAAACACTTTTTATGCGACGTCGTACATGCTGTAAAGAACCAAAGCACGCACAAATGATTATGTTCTACATTGCAGACTGGTAACTAACTTATTGTGTCTGTAAAATTAAGTATTGCGTTTTCTTCTCTGTGGCATATTTCTAAATTCCAAGATCAATAATTAAAAAAACAAACAGTTACAATTTAAATCGCTTTTGTGACCTTATACTTGAATGACTTTTAAATGTGTAGCATTGGCGTAGACTTTAAGCGTCTAACATTATATTATTCGCATGCGCTTTTCCCGCGCTTCTATTTTTTGAAACAGTCAAAAGTTGCTAGCTTTTCTAAATAACTTAACGTCACTAACAATTAACAGATTTATAAATTCGATATGCAATCTGCTGATGACACACACTGGATAATATAGACTTACTGACATAAATATTTTTATTACCCTTCCAGATTTTTCCACCTTTTTGATTGGATATTGATCCGTCGAAAGAAATTGATATTACCGAGTTAGACGGGTAATATACACACTAAATATACCCGCTGGGTACCCCACGTTGTTAACAGCATGCGTTGCACGATGCGCGTACAGTTCGATTTTACGCTGTGTAAATTCCGATATACAATCTTACTCTGCATGGGAAGGGTAATAAAATTGTTATTTTGGTTTTGGAGTGATATATGTGGATATATTACCTGCCAAGATAAAATATCACCCGAGCCTAACGGCTCGGGTGATATAAAATCTTACCAGGTAATATATCCACATATATCACTCCAAAACCAAAATAACATATAATATCTCCTTCCGTGTATTCCGTCACCATATTGTGAAACTAATATTAAGTAATAGAAAGAGCACCGAAACACGAGGCTATCTGATTTGTACGAGGGGGCGTAGCCCCCGAGTATTAATCAGATTGCCGAGTGTTTTGGTGTTCTTTCTCTTTTGTATCATAGTCAAACATAAAAGCACGTTCCCTGTTGTGACAATATGAAACCCCGACAAAAATGAACCAATGAACGAACATCTGAATATGACATTTCTGTCGCTTTCCCTTCTCTGCCGTCACAATATGTAAACCCCAGCAAAAATGAGCCAATCGATGGGCATGCTTTTGAGTGCGGGTAACTAATACCCGCACTCCAGTTAACGCACTGTGCATGTATATGTATACGATTTAACCCTGACACATTTTCAACAGAAAGGTCTCCAAACTATGATACAAGATCGTAGTTGATGTATTGTATGAGCCACTGCTTTTGTCTGTATACGTTACATTTATGTAGTTTGAATTATAGTTATGTTGTGGTTGGGATATAACGGGTAAGTTACATTAATGATGTTGTTGATAATTTGTACAAAACATATTTAGCTCGTGGTTGATGTGTAAATCGCATTTATGTTATTGTTGATCCATTGTTAGGCTTGTGTGGAGCATCTTGGTAATAAAAAGTTATCTTGAGCATTTCAACGGTATAAAGAGCACAATTTGTGTCATCTCGCTGTTCTTATGGATATAAGCCCAGTGCAAATACTCGATCTCTATTTCTTTGTACATCGGCAATGGGTAATATAGAAACAGCGTTTGTCAGCGTCCTCCATTTGCCCTATTTATGATAATTAAAAACAAAAATGATTATTGAATATGTAAAATATTACATCATGTTAATGTACATGTAGCTAACTTAAACATGTATATAAAAGTTGTCTCTGTATTATCATTAATTTATCACAGATATGTTTTTTTCTACAAATGGATAATTAAATATTCATTAAAAATATTTCCTGTATTATTTTTGCTACGCAGCAATAACACCACCTAAATTCAAGCAAATTTTAAATTTCTTTGGGAAAATTTAAAAAAAAGTGGCGTTTCCATACGATAATGTGTAATTATATTTTGATGATTATTACATAGCAGCATGTGACATACTAAAATTTATACTTTCACCTTAAATTCTGTGAGTACTGTCATTCCATGTTCATACTTCCCCGTATACCGCATATCTGCTCTTTTGGCAATTGACAGTGTGTTTGTTTGCCAAAAAACTTTTTCACATATGGAATCAACATCCTGAGAAATAACAATTAAAATAATTTTATATCACCAAGATAAAACAGAACTATCTCATATTAAAAATGATAAAAATAATTAAAATAAAAATAATTTATCATAAAAATTGAGGTTATTAAAAATAGAATTCCAGTTTCCAATTTTTAGCCTACATCTGTGGCTAATTAAAAGCAAAAGTTGCAGGTATATTTTTTCCAATTGTTTAAGAATATATAATTATTTACTCATTTATCTATTACTTCAATGGAGACCTGCTCAGTTTTTATTTTATCAGTTTATTTTTACAGTTATAACTAAAACTTTTGATGCTAAGAATAGCATAAGTTTGTCATTGAGCCATTATTTACATCTTTCAAGGTCATAGTTCAATATACATGAAGTACGCAAATTTGTTCTTCGAATCTAGAGATGTCGACCTTAGCTGAAAAAATGGAAATTGAATTAGCAGTAATTATAGCCATACTGCACGTGGTATTATTTTTGTTACTTTAATGCAACCCTTGTATTTGATACCAACTTTGGTAATATTTGATTTATACAATGCGCTGAGAAACGCTAATTAACTCGCTAATTGGCATTCAATATAACTCCAGTAAACTAAAATACTATCTTTTTGGAATGAGGTTCAGCATATCAAATAATTTGCTGTTGTTCTTGTCATTGTTTATGTATTCTTACATGATACCAGGTTATTTTGTTTGCATTATTGTTGGATTTTATTTTATTAAATGTCAATTGCAGCCTCATCTATATACACAATAAACACAGTTTATATATATATATAACATACAAAATAAATGCAACACTGCCAATCTATAAGATTTGCAAGAGACTACAAAAATTTGGTCGGAAGCATTAATCCCAACAAAATTACAAGAGAATTGTAGACTCGGTTTGATTGAGTCTGTATATGATACCTGCATTTTTTTATGTCAAATTAAGAAAAAAATGTGTCTTTTAATACCTAGGACTTAAGATACAGTAGCTATATTTTAAGTCCCAAAAAAATACTGAGAGTAGAACACAAACTGGAATGAAAAATTTGGGTTGAATTTCAAAAAGACCGAATTCAGGAATTTTTTTGTTATTTACGTTAACAAAAATATTGAGCATAACGTTTCCTCAAAACTAATATATAATTTTAGTGAGATAGACAAACAATTTCCTTCTACAGTGGCATATAGTTCATGTACCTAGTAGAATTAATGTGTGCTAAAAGGTGTACCTGGTTTATAGGGCAACTGTCAAAATCACTGTTCCTTGAAATAGAAAAATGGTTTCTACGATAACGATTACACTAGATAAGAATGAGTTATTGCAGTCAAATAAAGGGTTTAGCAATCTTATGTGGTAACCCCGGTTTTGGATTGCAATTAAACCCCTTTGGGTTTATAATCACTGATACTTAATTAGTAAAACGATTATCTGACAATAACTAAGGTTAGGTATAAGAAATTATTATCAAATTTAGTATAAATCTATCTTATATGAAGACCCTGGTTGGGATTGTAATTAATTGAAAAAAATCTTTGTACACAGCTGAAACTTTAGAAATTATAGTTTGAGTTGGCTTCCAATATATAATGTTTACTGACATATATAACTTATGCAAGTGCTAGCATCGTGCTTCAGTAGTATTGAGCTTTCTGAAAAGTGTTAAACAAGTAATATTTTTTACTCATACGGGCCCTGCATTACGATTTAACGAAGTAGGCTAGCAAAAGTGGTACGAGAATATTTGAGTAAATTATACACGTGTCATAGGTCTTGTTGTTACACAATGGACGCAACATTATTATATGCTTTCAAAAACCTATAAAAAGGGACCACCTAATAACAGTAACAATTTTGCTGCTTCTGTTGGTGATCGTGACTCTATAATGCATAAAAAGGGCAATGTGAAAAATGAAAAATAGTGGAGTCTGTAATAAATTATAAGAAAAAAATATTAAAATCAATCCTGAGAAAAAAGGAAAATTAGATATGTTTTCTACTTTAGTTTTTGACAATGCAATTTGCTAAATAATAATATTTGATGATTATTTGTATCAAACTTTTTTGTGTTTGCACCATGTGAATTCCCAATAATGAATCAAAGCACTGAAAGTACTGAAGTATACATTGCTTGATAATATAATCCATTTTTGACATCAAAGCCATGTTGATTTTAACCTACTGAACCCGAAAACAATAGGGATCATCTTCTGACCAAGATCAATGTCCCTAACAAGTGATTCACATGCACCAAGGCTTTTTTCTTCAAAAGTTATTTATGAGTCAAGGAAGATGTAATGTTCCATCTGTGTATTGCTAGGACAAGCTGATAAATGAGCAATAAAGAAATCATTTTTTGAAACACCCGTTAAATGGACTGCAGTATAGAATATTGAAACAGTCATATTGAGTTTCCAGTGATGCTATCTGATAAAATACATGATCTGGTTTGAACTCTATACAAAGTCGATTAATTGAATCATCCTACAAGACTTAATTACCAAATTACAGTACATCTATGTACTGTACTTTGATGCATTAATAAATATATTCTGGTGTGTTGTATTAATCTCTACACATTAATTTTCAAATGCATTACTTTATCGTTAATTAATAAAAATGAAATCTATAATCACAACAATTCAAATGTACTGTAATATTTTCATTATTCAATAATTGTTACATATAGTCTTCATGAACAACCTTTCCAAGAAATCCATTTATATTGGACAGCAAGTTAACAAGGGTTTTTCCATAATCAGGTTGTGTTACCAACTTCTTAACTTTAGATGAACCATTGAGCTAAAACATTTTTTTTTCTATTTTTTGGCTACTGTGACATACTTCTGATTTTCAACCAAGGTGATCCATGTTCAAACTCGAGCAACACCTGTCACACACATTCTTACGATGTTGTTTGACATTTGGGACAAAGGGTGACCAGTAGAGTGTTAACAAACTAAATGACCAGCAGATTCATAACATTTTTTGTTCATAACATATGCGCTTAATATTCCGTATTCGTTCGTCGTTTTGATAGTGTCGATTTTGCCAAACAGAAACATAACAAAAAATCGACAGACTGGAACCCAGGCTAACCTCACCCTGAGCTAGCCAACCTATAAGTTTCACCACTGACTTTTTCATACTGTACTTATTACAAAAAATAACTGACATTTTACAAAGGTAATAAATTCTATGTCATAGTTATTCATTTAAACGATTGAAAATATATTTAGCAGCATTTTTTTAAAAATATATCTAGTATTTTATTGCAAGTAAAATGTGTTGTTTGTTTATTTATTTTTTCTATGTTTTTGACGCTAGGCAGTATCATAGCCGATAAACAATTTCATACAATGTTTATTACAAAAATATTACTGATATTTTACATTTCTTACACATAAATTATAATGTTATAATCATTCATTTAGACGGTTAAAATTTTATTTAATAGTTCTATTTTTGAAATGCCGAATTCATCGCAAGTAAAATGTGTTTTTGTTTTTTTTTTATTTTGGGCTTTTCCATTTTTTTTGACGCTAGACCGATACGTAGCCGAAAAACACTTTCATGCTGTATTTATAAAAATATAAACATCACTGACATTTTACATTGGTAACAAAAGAAAGTAATAGTTATTCATTTAAAAGGTTGGAAAAAAATAGCGGCTCTTGTTTTAACTACGACTATTTTAATGCCCGTAAAAATGTGTTTTCCGGCTTATCCATGTTTTTTTGACGCTAGACTGTAACTTTGCCGAAAAACACTTTCATATCGCATTTAATATACAGAATAGAATCATTCTCTAATTTACACTGGTTGCAAAAAGAAAGTAAATTTTAATCATTTAAAGGGTAGAAAAAAGTAGATAAAACTTATTTTGTTGGAATTATACCAATTGTATATATCATCGATTTAAAACTGATATTATTGAACCCATTTCATCAAATAACCGACAAAAACCAATTTCATCAAATAACCATCAAAAATGGTTTATATTGCTGAATTAATATTTCTTTGTATTTTAAGTGTTTTTCGGTATTTTTTGTTGTTTTTCGGCAATTAATATAAGCAGATAAAAATAACATAATGTATTTATTTCTTAATGCTTACACTGATTTACAGTTTCAAATGATTATTTCTTCTCGTCGAATCTTGCCACATATGCCTATATTTAGCTCCATACGTCAATATCCCAAGTTCGACGAATTGTAATGGGTCGAACGGTCGAGCGGCCGAATCTTTATTTTTACCCGTACTGAATCAGGCAATCTTCGCTGAATTTCGAAACATATTTCTTTTCAAAAATCTAAGGCATACAAAAGTGAAAGGAAAATCATGTGTAAAAAAGGTATTCAAAAGAATAGCTTACGTAATTTTTATTTTTCGAAGTCATGATAATTGCCAGTTTTTTAAAAAAAAAAAAAAAACATTTTCCGGTATACGCTGGTAAATTTTGTGACGGTGCTCCATACTTATTTTGTAAAACATTTTAGGGCAATTTTATTGCATAAATGTAAATCGGGAATTTTATTTGATTTAATATCTATCTGAGATGTTTCGTCCCATTTATATAATACACCGATATACACTTTTAGAACTAGCAGACGACAGGCTATTCTTATCATTGCGTATCTCATTGCGTAAATCGCATGTAAAATGGTCTGACATATGGTAGGTTTAACAGTTAATTTAAATACTTTGGAGTCAAAAGATGTATTGAAGTTTATATTGTGATGAAGCTAAGATCCAAAGCTTTCTATTGGTGTAATACATTTTAAAATCGGACATTTAATCACAACACACTAGCGGTTTAAAAAAAGCTTATTTTGTATTGTTTTAGCATAAGCGCTGACGACTTTACTATATTTACGATGTATTCATTCATGCTAGCAAGCGCATGCGTATATGCGAAGTTTAACGCGTAGGTATAAACTACGATTTTATCAATGAACTGTTATTTTTTGTTTTCTTTAAAGGAATGTAGAGTCTATTATTTCATG